AGAGGTGTCACTGGAACAATCTTCAACATTTGTTTCTGTGACAACTATTTTTAAGATGGGATTTTCTCTCACTTCCTGTTCTATCTCCAGGGTAGGAAGTGACGGGAACTCCTTTCTTAGTCCTTCCAAAACTAAACGTGCAGCTTTGGCTTTAGGTTTATTTCACCGTCAGAGGAGAAGAGAAGTCTAAACGTTTTACCATTTGTATCTATCGCACAACTAATATTGCACAGCCCCCAACTCATTAAAATTATGGAAATGTGAAATTGAACCCCAAACAACCAAATAAATAAAATCATAAACACTCACGAATTGTCCGTCGAGCTGGAAGGTGGCGTTCTGAGAGGAGACGTTGAATTTGGGCAGGAAAGGACGGATACAGACAGAATGGTCATGTGACTGGAAGAGAACACACAGGGTGACATTAGAATCTGCGACATTGTTACCGGCCCCGTGTCAGTTCATTTTCCAAATCATGATTTCTGGGGACTGCGCTGATTTTTTTGGGAGTCCTCTTAACTCCTAAAAATATTTGTGCCCTGAAGAAGGTGGAGATCTTGGAGTCCCCGAAACGTGTTGACTGTTTTATGTTGTCGTGTTTGAATTTACATACTTTCTCCCCCCCCCATGTTCTCTCATTAGACTTTCTATACTTGGAGTTTCCCATTCAGGACATAGTGAAACGGGAATCTGAGGGGAGGGAAACACAACAGATAACGGGCCCAAGAAACAGATTTGAAAATATTAAATGGCATCCAATTAGGCTTTACTCTGGCGACGTACACTGTACGTCGTCAGTCACGAAGGGGTTAAAATGTTTATTTCTCACTGAAAGTGCTGCTTCATCTCCTCGCCCTCCAGTGCTCTGGGCTGGCAGAGCTGACTAACAGCCACGCCCCTCATTAGAACTGCCCTGACACAGATTAGTATTGCAAAGAAGGAGGAGGAGGCAGCGTCTGATCAGGTCTTTTACTGAGTGCTGATTACTGTGTGCACTGGGTCTGACTCTGGTACCTGTTGGACTGCACGGTCATATTTAGACTCCCGGCACAAATGCTGTAACCGGAATGAGGAGGTAAGAATTTAGTAGCAAGGAGTTTCACGGAACAATCCAATGATTTGGAGGGGCGTCCCAATACTTTTGGCGATGTAGTGTACATCTTGGACATCTAGTATATTTGTAAGGGGGCCAGACGCTGCAATCCCAGAACTGACACAGGGCCTTACCATGGTCTCTATAACAATGGTGAGATTGCCCAGCCTGTCCGTGAGGGCCACGTAGCTCCCACCGTTCTCCAAGTGGCCGACTGTACGCAGGTAGAACCAGCCCGGCTCGGTGAACTGCGTTGTGTGAGCTGGAAGAGAAATACATTCGTCATACATCATCTTTCCATAAACGTGAGAAGCGCCCTCGTGCGTTTTTTTGTGTCCGGTGATTTCATTGTTCACGGGGGTTTGTTTCATGATGCACGCACCGCGGAGCCGCACAAAAAAAACACGCAGTCTGAAATGCGATCGGCATACCTTCATTTTATC